ATAGACTCAAAGTGACGATCAATCGCATTGCAATAGTTTCTTTATTTTTGAGTTTTTTACATAATGTCCATATTGTCTATAATGTGTAAATATAAACATGTTTATATTGATACTTGTATAGAGTATACTTGTTTTATTTCATGTTTGCCAAAAGTGTGGTTAGGTGTATAGTTCTGGTTAGAGCCCGAAGAGATAAGAGCAAAGGCAGGAGTGAAAGTATTTGACTCATCCAAAACAAAGTGGAATGGTTGTAAATAACATGTGTCAAGCTTACGGTGTAAAACAAGCATGTTTTATTGTTTTTCACTTTGTTTGTTTAGGTAGTGTGTTGATTGTTTTTTAAACAAGTTGAAATTGAACCTATTTAAAATCTCAAATCTTCACTTTTCATCTTGTTTATTCACTTTCATCTAGTTTTTCCAAAAGTATTGATTTTATTAGCTTGAGGAAGTGTGTATGTCATGTAAATTCTATTTAGTTGTGTAATTGAGATAGTGTAGGTGATTGTGGAGGTTATATAAGAACTGTTTTTGTTGTCCTATTTTTCTAGTTTTGGTGTAGCAAACTTAGCACAGTAGAGCTCACTTAGCGTGTTCTACTATTTTGAGCCAGTGAAGTTTTTTTTAGTGTTCACTTGGTCCTCCTTTTTTCCCACTATCACCAAGGCTTTGTATTAGTAAATAACAATAGTATTATTTTTCTAATTCTTTTGTTGTTGTTTGGACTCTAATTTTGGTCCGGTAACTTGAAGAATTTCGAGGTGATTTTCCGATTTTGATTGATTCAACTTGCGGATGTAGCGTAATGATAACTTTTGAAGTTGGTACACGCCAGGTACTCGTTTATCACTTTCGATAAAATAACATGTTTAGGAAACTTTTCATTTTTACAATTACCATGCCATTCATTCTTTTTGTATTACTTGTTCATAACTTGAATCACTTTAGTTTCTTTTTTAACCCAATTGTGAGGAAGCTTTCCATTGTTCATATATGTTGGAGACCATTTTTTTGTTAATTGTATGAAAGTATAAAAATGATCAAGACATTTTGTTTCATTTTGAGAACAACTACCTAACCAAATATTCAATTCACCTTGTGAGTGTGTGAACTTTTGTTAACCCTTTTAGAGCCTTTTTGTCAATGTTCGTGTTTTTTTTAACTTAATACTTGTCTATCAGTGTTTAGTTTTCCTTTTTGAATGAAAATTGATTCTTTGTTTTCTTGAACCCTCAACCATAATTTTTTGTTTGAATTTTTACCTTGCCTTAAAAAGTAGGGAGTATTCATTTAAATGTTGGTTGAATTCAAGTTGGGGAGAGAATTGTTTGCTTACTTATGTTGTTGGTTGTTATGCGGTTGTGAAAAAGAAAAGAAAAAGAAAGAAAAGAAAAAGAAAGAAAGAAAAAAAGAGAAAAATTTTGAAAAACAAAAACAAAAAGGGTAGAATTATTGTGCTAATAAATATGTGTTTTTGTGTAGCAATTGGGATGAAAGAAGAAGTTTAATTAGAATTTTTGTGTTTGAACTTTTGTGAGTTGATCACTCCCTTAAGTTTAGGAAAGTTTTTATTTTGATTAGCCTTAGGAATTATCCTTTATTTGTTAACTAAGACACATTACAACATTGAAAAGCCCTTGTGATTCTTGTCTTTGTATGTTAAATGTGAATTTTTAGATGAATGCATAATTTATTCTTTTGTTTGCAAGGTTGTTGGACGAGTGTCAAATCCACACCTTTGTGTGTTTTTAATCCCTCGATGAATTTTTGTTAGGTGTGATTCATGATGTGATCTTGTATTATTTTATATGATTTAACATGTTTTTTTTACTTAGGATTAATTTCATTTTCATGTTGTTGTTATAGGATTGTGGTAAGTATTTACTTTGCTTGTGTGTTTTTGTTTGAACCATACATTTGTTTTCGTTTTCCAAACTTGTTGATTCATGATTCTCTGGTTGACTACTTTTGTTCTTTGATTTGTTTGGCTTTGTTTGAGGACAAACAAGTTCAAGTTGGGGAGAGTTTGATAAGTGCCAAAATGAAGTTATTTTGTATATATGTTTTATGGCACTTATCGATTCTTTTGATGATATTCGTTGAATAATTCTCCGCTTTATGTATAAATGCGTATACTTTATGTTTAATTGAGTTTTTATGTATATATTTTATAGTTTGATAGTTTTTATGTCTTTTTGTAGGTATTCATGCATGGTTGGAGCATTGAGTAATAAAGGCCAATGGCTAAGCTTCAAGAATGTAATTTTTAGCAATTCGTCAAAGGATAAAGCTAAAAAAAAAGAAGATAAAAATCATCAATTTGGTTGATATTTAGGCATTTTTAGATATATTATTGAATAGTATTTCAAATTCTTCGAACCGGATGTAAATTGGAGTTACGGTTCTCAAGTTATGGCGAAAACAAAATCTAGTTTTTTCTGCTACCGCTTAGTGGGATTTGTGCGCCGAGCGCGGTCTGCTGGGAAAAAACATGTTAAAAGGGCCAAAACACACATTTTTAGGTTATGTTTTGGGGTATTTGTTCTCAACTCATTAAACCTTCATTCTTGGTAGTTTAGTGCTTAGAAAAGAACGTTGGAGCTTGCACACGGACGATCCAGGGTGCATTTCTCATCTTTCGGCATAGACAACCCGGGAGATTTTTGGTTCATTTCTCTTCCTCTTTGTGTATTCTTCATTTGTTTGGTTTTGTATATTTATTTAATTTGAACATATGTATATGTATTGATCATGGTGTTGTATAAAGCTTGCTTTACAAATCATTATTGATGTCTTTCTTGATCTTTTTAATTTATATTTGGATTTGGGTTGTTATAGACATATACCTCACAAATCTTGATTAGGGATGGATATCTATTAGTTTCAAGATTCTAGAGATAGATTTAGAGCTAATAATTATTGTGGGTATCAGAGCTTAATGCTTCCGTGTTATTTGTGTTGCGCTGAGAGATCTCCGATGCGAGTAATACTGTTGTCTTCAACTTTGCGTTAGACATAACCTTTGTTGTGGTAGATCTTGTGGTGTCCGTGATGATTTTGATGAGTAGAGTAGGTTGAGTGCAACTGATCGATAGGTTTAAGTTTGTGATAAATGGATTATATTCATGCCTGATAAGTTTATTCTCGATAATGAATGTATTTATTTTCTTGTCAATAGTTTTTACCATTTTCTTACCAATAAACCCCATATAAAACCAAACTCTTAAACGCGAGAAATTGTCGAATGAAAAATCAGTAGCACTAATCCCTGTGGAGCCGATATAATAATACTATAAATACTTACTTTTTATTACTGCTTTACCTCTTCAGCAAAAATCTCGTTCGGGATCCCTCCTACCTTTTTCACTATCCTAGAATTCGAGGATAAACCTTTCTGGTTTCCGGGCCCAAAGCCTTCCTCACTTCTTTGCTAACACCCACTAGCTCGAATATTTTCCTCTTCATTATCCCTTTGGAGGGGTTATCTTCCCTTGAAATATCACCAACAATGGATGCGATGTAGTGATGTTTTTCTTTCTAGTCTTCCTCTTCTTCATTGTTGTTGTCTCTCCTTCCTTTAGATGCAATCAAAACCTCAATAGCTATCTTGAGGGATGATTTTTCTCGGTAATTGAAACATCTCTTCTTTGGCAAACATTCTCGGCTCTTACACCCTCTCTTATGGTACCAACCTATTTTTTGGTCACCATCCTGGGAGCACTCAGGAAGTCGCCCCTTCTTAATCAGCTTTTATATCGCAATCTATTGATGGATGCACT